AACTCATCACGAAGCAACCCTACCCAGGTTCCTTCTCATAGCCCTACTATCCAGGCTTTCATCTCGAAGTAACCCTACTATCCAGGTTCCTTCTCATAGGCCTACTATCTAGGCTTTCATTCCGAAGTAACCCTACTATCCAGGTTCCTTCTCTTTTATCTCCAGACAACAGTTTATAACACTGTAAGACCTGGACCCGACCAGGTACGGTCGATTTCACATTTCCCCGGTAAGTCGCTGTGTAGCCTGGACCCTGATCAGATAAGCAGTTCACTTCCTCCTCCTCAATAAAGAGTTAATTCCCCAGTAGAGTAATGGACAACCGAAGCTCCTAGACTCTATTTGTAACACCCCAATTCTACCCCAAGCAATTTACGGAAAATCAGAGTATAAAAATTTCCAAAATAATCAGGATGCTACACATTCAACAGAGACACATAAACCTGTCATGCTTTTAGAATAGATACATAACACTTGAAGAAAATGAAATGAACACAACTCATGAATAAAGTCTTCATAACATAAACCAACTTTGATTAATCATGCAGCAAATTCATAATAATTCTCCATATGAGACATAACATCTTTTAAATCATAAAACAACATCAATAAGATAATTCCCCAAATAACAACATAAGCTTAGATAAATAAACAACAAAATAAAATAAGCGTTCATTTCCCCCTGAGTGCTACGTATCAGAGCAAATGACACCAAACTCGAACTAACAACGCTAACTGCTACTCCTCTTGGTTACCTGCACGTTACCAACAAAGGGTAACATTTAAACAGAAGGGGTGAGATATCGAATACTATAATAGAACATATGATAAATAATATATCAAAATCAGTTTACATAAAATAACCACTTCGTACAAAATCAACATATAGCAATACCATTCACCAACACCTCAATTAAACTTATGACATTACCGTGCGTAAACAACACTTCAAATAAGCAACAAATCAACGACTCCAAATGCGACTCAATTATGCAAATGCATGTGGTACCATTGGAGCAGAACTCCCAACTTAGAAAATGCCAGTTTACCGAGGCATAAGGCATAAGCCCTTAACATAAAATCTTGCCAATAAAGGCCAACGTGGTGAGCATTCGCTCCAACTTAGAACTTGCCAATCCAGGCCAACTTTAATGCTATGCTATACGATGATATAAACAACCACAACTTGGCAACGTAACAACGACAACAACATAATAAAGGTATAAGAACAATTCACGCCTTCAACATTGGCCAAAGGCCTATATCACAATTATTACCAATTAATCAAGGGTAAATCACAACACTTATTCACCACGGATATATAAGAACAAAACGTCATTTCGGTCAATTCACAAAATACATCAATATACCAACATACCGAATTAATCGATTCATTTCCAATTACTTGCCAACTTAATCAATTAATCCCACTGCTAAATTATTTTCATCACTAATAAAATACTAATTCAGCCATTTAAAATATATATAGTCCACTGCTAATTGTTCTCCATAAATTACTAATTTATTATACAACTAATGGATGTACTATTTTCTCCATAAAACTAGCTTCTAGCAACTAAATTTAATTTACTACTACTGAAAATAGTGACATTCATATATACTGCTATTGGTTATTACTGATATCATTTAAAAATTATGCAGCATAGTACCATAGAAAGACAAAACAGAGAAACAGAGACAGAAGCAAGTGCCCCTGCCTCACAGTGCCAAAGTGGCACTTTTTCTCTCCACCTCTCACTTGTGCCGGTCAGCACAACTCCTTCCCCAGACCATAACGGCCGTTATACCTTCCCTGCCAGCTTGTGATGGTCGTCACAAGCACTTCCCCCAGGCCATGTTTCGTTTTCAATTCCTTTTTCTTATTTTCTATGCTTAGTTTCTATACTGCTTCAATAAATTCTTCTGTCTCCTAATCCAAACTCAAACCAGACAAGTGTTTAACACAACAACCCATATATTTCTTTAACAGTTCCATAACTAAAACTATATTAATCATGCTTATCACAACAACGCAAACCAACACAAATCAATTACTATCACAATAACACAAGCCAAACACAAGTCAATAAAATAGTAACAATTTCACATACAAATTCTCACATACAAAATATCATATACCCCGTTATAGGATAACAAACCCACCCTTACCTGGTTTGATTTTGAAAACAATCAAGGAAGCTTCAATGGAACTTCTGGAAACTAGCCCTAGCAACAACTTCCTCGTTCTTCTCCTTTTCTCACAAAACCCTATTCTCTTTTTTCTCTTCTTATTCTGTTTTTTCGGATAACACTACTTTCTCTCTTTTTTTCTCTTTCTATTCTCTAATAAAATACTATTATTCAATTCTTAGTAACTTAAATGGGCCTAACTGTAGCGGTAAAATCAATGAAGTCGCTACTGAGTATTTATTTATCCATAGAAGGGAAAGGAAAATCATCGAAGAAAAACCTAAAGGGGGAAATCAAGGTCTTGCGACCGAGAGATTGGGTAAGAGAGTCGATTATGCGAGGGGAAGGTATTAGCACCCCACACGTCCATAGTACTTTATGGGATCCACTCTCGTTATTCTAATCAAAAGACGTGTTCGATCTAATGCTTAAGGGTTATAAACTAAAAGAGAATGCATGCAAACAAAAGAGAAAGAATGTAGGGAAAATAAAGTTGTACTCGCTTGGGCCCTACCCCAATGCCTACGTATCCTTTTTGAGGAATCAGAGCTACCGTAGTTCGGCTCATATATTTTGTTTGTTTGTATTTTTAACGAACAATATTGCATTCGATCATTCCACCGCTGCTCGACCTTTGGAGACTTATGACCTTTAGTGGAAAGGAGCTAACATGCTCTTAGAAGAGAAAAGCCGAATGGCGAAAAGAAATGGATTGGTTGATATTTTTTACCATGAAAAGAATCTTTGTATGATTAGCATTTCTTATATATTTGCCAAGAAAAAGAAGTTTTAGTTTTAAATGCAATTATGCAAAAATGGGAAGAAAACATTCAAGGGAGACTAGCCTATCTCTAACCTAATGTTATCATATAATGAGGGATCCGACCTAAGTTAGCATGCCAAAGAAAGTCAAGCAAACTATCCTATAGGGAACATGCACTGAGAGCGAAGTCGTAATCTCAATTTCTAAATTGAGTGACTCATCGATCAACAAGAAATAAAGGAAAGCGATAAAATCCTATAGGGAGCATGCACTGAGAGCGAAGTCGTGATCTCAATTTCTAAATTGAGTGACTCATCGATCAAAAAGAAAGGGAACAAACACAAGCACAACATATATAAGAAATGAAGTGCGGAATGCCTGCTACAAGTCTTTAAACAGCGACTTCGAGCACACACTCTTTATTTCCTACTTCTCATGATATCTAGAAAGCAATAAAATGCGGAAAAATAAATTGGAAGCAGTATAATACCAAACGAACAATGACGTCCGCAAAAAGCGCAACCAAAGTAAAGAAATCCGAGATACTTCGTACGAGTTGGAATCAACAAACAAACAGTCAGAGTTCGAATATCTGGAATAGGTGTCGCAACTTCGTCGATGTGAAAATCAATCACAATCAGAATCCAAAACACATCCGCATATCAAATAATGAACCTGCATAAACTCAACTCAACTAAGAAAGGTGAATCACAAATCTCAAGTAATCGGATAATCCCGATTTAATTCCCAAAATCAAGTATATATAAAAAATATATACCCAATTTTTATATTTGATTTTATTATTATTATTTTTTTTATCATATGGAAAAAAAATTAAACAAGTCTAAACAATTAGCAAAATTATTTAAAAAGAATTACTAAAATAATAAACAACAAAACAAAGCCCATGGAGTGCAAGTTGAATCTAGAAGTGGCATGCTGTGGTAGTCTGGGCGCTGCAGGCCCAATTATATTGGAGGTGTGAACAATAAAGGCTCTAAGTCCAGATCCAATACATTTCTCATTCAAAATCCAAACAAAAAAAACTATCCAGATTATTGTTTTTTTATTTTTTATATTCAATTATAATTAAATTGTTGAGATTAACAACGAAAATAATACAAAATAAAAGGAAAATCCACAGAATGATGTCGTTTCACATTGCTTCAGATGAAAAAGAGAGAAAAATAATGACTCTTCGTCTCTCTCAAGTTCACTCAACCTTCATCCCTAAATCATTTCGCCAGAAACGAACCTCGCCGTGTCGGGCACGGTGAGACCTCACCGTTCTTCCACTTGTCTCCTCCATTTTCATCATCGTATCATCCTTAGTCTGAATCCAAACCTATTTTCGTTCAATTTTTCTCTAATCTGCCTACATCTACCGAGGGACAGAGAAACCCTGGAAATCTTTAGAGCGCAATTAAACAGCGATTATGCGAGACTTCGGTGCAAACGCTTGGGGATGATGCTCAACAGGTTCTAATTTACATCTTGACGCCAAGAAATCACGAAAATACAAAGAATCAAGAAAGTTCGGTGCTTACCTTCGACGCCTTCGGAGATTCGAAATAGCGAAAACCAGAGATGAGGCTCCTACGCTGATTACAAGTGTGAATTGCTTCTATTTTCCTCCCTCTTTCCACATCTTTCTCTTCTGCTAGTAACTTGCATTGATGTTATTATACATTGAAACGTCGAATTGTTCTTGCTGTGCGAAGAAGATGTAATAGCGAAGATGAATATGAAGGGAAGATGCAAAAGTGGTTATTGTTGATGATGAAAAGATGAAGGTTGAAGATGCGTTATCAAGGATATGATGATGCAGTTATGTTGATATTGCATATGATTGGAGGATTCAGAGAAAGAATGAGGTTCACAATGTTGATGATGATTTACAGAGAATGAGTGAAGCCGAGGAAGGATGAAGTTGTTGTGTTGTTATGGAGAGAGCAGCGAAAGAAGAGAGAGCTTTGCGGTTGGTGATCCTCCATAAGAAGTGAAGAATTCCCCCGATTTATGGTGAGTTTTCCGTTTTTATATTCTGTTAGAGGCTTGGGAAGTTTGTTACAAGTGAATGAATCTGAGCCTTAGAATTATGAAAGTTAGTTATAAAAATGGATGGTGAGGATTTGTTATGTTGCAAGAGTGTTGAAGATGATGTACCTGAAGTTGTGTGAAGAAGACGCGAAGAATTGATGCTGATGGAGGGTTGAGGAAGGTGAATGAGGGTGAGCATGAGAATGGTGGAAGGGATCGATGAATGGTGGTTCAGTTGAGCGTATGAAGGTTTGTCATGTGAGGAAGAAATGGTAGAGAGACTTGAATGAGGGTACTCCTTAGCTTATGTAGGTGAGTTCTTTGCAAATTAGAGAGAATTGGTTATATCTGTTTGTTGAACTCATAATTTCTGTTAAATTTGGTTAGAAGCTGTTAGCAATTCTGTTAGTTGCAGTTAGTTGTTAGTCGGTTAGAAGTTAGTTTAGATTCGGTTATGAAATTCTGTTAGAGTTCTGTTTGGATGTTAGAATTCGGTTGATTGTTTTATGAACTAAATTGTTTTCTTGGTTTGATATTTCAAGCATCTCAAAAAGGAAATTAATACTTCTGAGTATAAGAAGATTGGCATCAATGAAAATGATTTTGTCGTAATCGGTTAACTGCCAGAGACAAAATTTGTTGTAGTTCCACTCATTATATGCATCTGGTTCTGATTTTGGATTCCTGATTCTTTTTTCAACCTCTCCCTTAAATGCTCAGCAATGTCTTTCTTGTCCACATTGTATACAACTTTTTCCTTGTCAGCTTCACGTATATACACCAGCATATAAGCATTTGAATATTTGGTGAATTTAAAAGGACTGTTATTGAATCCAGGATTTGTCTGTGGTAACTCTTCCTCACCACCATATTTCTCCTCTAATGCCCGTTTAGGGTCTTCTTTTGTCACCCTCTCATCATCGAATTTGTACCACTGATCAGAGAGAGTGGGTCTGATAAAAGCATAGTAATGTCGACCGTGCACACCACCACTGTGAACCAGAACACTATGAAGTGTGTAAAGATTGCGAGCATTCCTATCAGCATCAGGTGATAAATATTTTTTATTGTCTCGATCAAGATCAAGTTGCAATGGAAACTCATAACGATCATTAATCTTTACCATAGTATCCCGTATAAAGTCATATTCAAATCTTTTTAGCTAAAGCTGCAAAACTGGAGGAAAATCGATGAACAGAGCACCTTTCTTAGCATCCTGCAAACCATTTTGTTCAGCATGGTATTTGTTGTCCCCCTCAAGACGTCCAACTTCAACATACTTGCTAAATGAAGCATAAACATCGGGACAACCTTTGACATCAAGTTGAAGATCATAAAATGACTCCTTTCGTGTTGATTTATAGTCCACATTGATGCACTCGATATAGTTCATGTGGTTCCCTTTAAACAATTTATGTATAGATCCTTCAACAACAGTTTCCTTCATTTTGTCTTCAAGTTTTTCACAAATAACTCTATTTAATTCTTGAACATTATGCTGCAAGAAAGAATCGTAAGTATCCCATCCAAACAATTTTGTCAGCTCTTTTGTTGCAACACTGGTGTCACTGTACTAGAGCTTGTAAAACAAACTTTGCACAACCAAGGGGATGCTTCCAGAGGGCATATCATTCTCTTTTGTAGGCATATGGTATACAACCTTTCAGAAATAAGGAATATGATACAAAGTTTGGAGCATAGAATTCATATAACATGTAGCTCCCTGGTTCTTAAGCCCAACATATCCTGTCTCCTTTTTTGAATCGTAAGTCCAGTAATCAACAATCCTACGAACAATGACCTCAGCTTTAATTAGAAGAGTATCATTCATAAGATACCCTCTACTAGGATCATACAATTCACCAAGAGGCATGAAGGATGTGAAACCCCAATATCTTTCTCGTGCATTGAACTGATGTTGTGTGTCTTTTCTCACAGAGTACTTAGTATGGATTTGATTAGTACTTAGTATGGATTTGATTAGCTACTGTCAAGCTAAACTGTGCATATCTACTCCAACCGTAGGTCAAACTATTTGAATCTGCAACATCTAAATACATGGACAAATAATCGACATTGTTCCCTTTTGGGAAAATAAGTACACGCCATTTGAAACTCCTTTCCCTCGAAGTTGTACTTGAAATTCTGTTTTCCACTTCAAATTTGCAAGCTTGGATAAGAACCATATGATGGTAAGATAAAAGCCCAAAAAGTTTTAAGAAGGACTTTAGTTAAAACCTTTAAACCTTGATGTGATATTCTAATTCCACCATGTCTCCTCAAACTCTTGCATAAGGTTCAAAGTACTGATTTGTAGCCCAAATAATCAAGTGAACCACACTTCAACGGATGACAACACCAAATGAAGCCCTAATGTTGAAGTGTGCCACATGATAGCCTCAAAGAAATCTATTTGCACTGATTCATGCTTAGAGAATAATCCTTTATCCCACGAGCCTCTTGACCACCACATGAATAGGGAAATAAACCCTAAATCCCCAAGATAAGTGCTAACACACTGAAGAAACGTATCACTTCATGAGCTCCAAGAATTTTTTGTCTGAATTTAGAGCCCTTTGAAAGAAGTCCAGTTGAACGTCTTGCATCATAAGTAACAATGAAGCCACCCCTCACATGATGAACAAGCCCAAGTGCTGAGAACAAATCCAAGATTTATTTGATAATTCCAAGCATAAGGAAGCAAACCCTTAATCCATGATCAATGAGAACCTCAGTTGAAACCAACCAGTATGATGTTTGAATTAAGTCTTGAACAAGTCTTCCATCTTCGAAACATAGATACATTTGACCAATTGCGCTAAAATATTCACTTGAAAAGGATTTGAGTAAAGTCAGAATGAATGAGAAATGTCTTAAATTTCAAGTAATTCTTCTTTAAAGAGATTCTAATAAGACAGACTTGAATTCACATTGACTTCGAATGATATTTGAGTCACCATCTTTGAATTCCACGCAAACCATTATATGAATTTTCTTGAATTAATTTGGGCTTAAAGGAATTTCTTGAACGAATCTTCAAATCACCTCCAATGAAACCCTTAATCTGGATCTTCAATTTAATCAGAATTCAGGAAGTAATTCTACCTTAATTCACAGCTTAAGCACCAAGAATCATCTTGATGAAATCTTCAATCAATCCTTAACCAGGTAACAAATAGCATCAAAAGGGAAGAGTAGTGCTAAATGTGGCCTTGAAGTGAGACATTAATTTAATAAACCTCCATAGAAGAATCACTACCAAGCTCAAATAAAATGAAGAGAAATCGTGATTTTCTGGCTGAGTTAAACCCTAATGCCAAAGCTCTTCGATCTTACAACCATGAGACCATTGCTATGTGTGAGATGTATAGAGTATGATGAGGGATCTTTGGGGGAAAATTGGGGTATAACAACTGCCCTTATTTAAGTGTCTTCTATCCGAAAATACGAAGATTAAAATCTTTGTTTCGACATGATTGAAGATACTTAAATATAAAACAAGCTCTATTTTTAGCCCTAAGATGCCCTGCGATGCTTATGATTATGGGTGTAACATATAAACTTTATGCAGACGGGCAAGACATACACTGGAGAAGCAAAAGTAGAATCTACAAATTGACAAATAGAATTCAACCAGGATAATAAATTTCTAGAGAACAACACGACTCTGGGGATAGAAATTTGAATCTATTGGAGACGAATTGGCCCTGCTGGGGAAAAGAAAACTCAACTTCACTGGGGTAAGATCCAGAGAGGAGAAAAAAGAAAAAAAATAACATAGCCTCAAAAACTGAGGGAAAAGTAATGGATGACAACAATTAACCGATAGCTGTGAACTATCCACTCATAGAGAAGATAGCAAAAAGAGAGTAACATCAACACAGGGGATCGACAATCGCTAACTAGAAAAGATCAATCTTACCTAAGAATGGTAATGAACTACCCACTCAAGAATGAAGGTAAAAAAAACAAACATAGGACAATACTGACTTTTATTGAAGGTAAAGAAACAGAAGTTACACCGACGTTTACTGAAGGTGGAGAAAAGAGAATGCACCAGCTTTTACTGAAGGTGATGTCTCAAAGAGTAATAACGAACTTCCCAAAATCCTGGCGTTCTTCCTAGAACGAGTGAAAATACAAGCTATCTCAAATAAAGAGACTACCACTTGTAAAGATTTCACAACAAACTTCTCTTGCGAAACTTCCTCAAAGAGATACCATTTGATGGAGAATTAGATAAAGTTCCCCTCAATCCTGACTATACGCCACGAACTGGTCTCAGTTTCTTCTTTAACCAAGATATTTCACCTGGAAAGGGTAAAAATACAAGCTATATCAAATAAAGAGACTACCACTTGTAAAGATTTCACAACAAACTTCTCTTGCAAAACTTCCTCAAAGAGATACCATTTGATGGAGAATCAGATAAACTTCCCCTCGATCCTGACTATACGCCATGAACTGGTCTCAGTTTCTTCTTTAACCAAGATATTTCACATGGAAAGGGTAAAAACATAAGCTATCTCAAATAAAGAGACTACCACTTGTAAATATTTCACAACGAACTTCTCTTGTGAAACTTCCTCGAAGAGATACCCTTTGATGGAGATTTAGATAAACTTCCCCTCGATCCTGACTATACGCCACGAACTGGTCTCAGTTTCTTCTTTAACCAAGATATTTCACCTGGAAAGGGTAAAAAATACAGCTGTAGGAATCTTTCAATGAACTGTCTTTATCAATGAAGTACAGCTAAACTCAAAAATGAACTATCTCCCATAATGACAAGACTACCATTCATTAGTGTAACAAATTTCAGCAACTAACTACCTTCCATACTGACAAGGCTATCATTCATTGGGAAAAAAATCTTCTCTGGCATTAACAGACTTACTGGGAAGAACAGGTTGCTCAAATAAAGATAGCCGCCGCTTGCCGTTCTAAGAAGGAAATATAATAAGACTGGCGAGAAAAGAAGCTTGATTTCCTGGGGAAATGGCAATACATTCCTGTTGAGGAGACAAATTCTTTTCGTGCAAAATAAATGCCCATTCTCAGGTCAAGGCTCGAAGCCTACAAAAATCAGAATAATAATGTTATCGGGGACTACAGACTCAAACCAGAAATAAACTGGGATGAGATAATCAAACAAGCCAGCACCCGATGGGAAATAAACTCAAAAGGGGATTATACTCC